CCCCCCCCCCCCCCCGCCCCCCCCCCCCCCCCCCCGTCTTGGGGGTTCATGACAAAAAAAAAAATTGCATAGCTGCTCACCCAGCACAATTGCATGTTCTGTACATTTGTTGTATGCCAGTTACTAGGGATGCACCGATACCGTACTCGCCCAAATGCTCCCGATGCCTAGCCCGATACCGCAACTTCCGGTATCAGGAAGCCGGGCGGCGAGTCATTACACGCTGCCGGGTTTCCTAAATGGCTGGGAAGCCGGCTCCATGCTCCCTCGTCACCAAGGAGCATAGAGCTGCCTTCCCGGCCAATCAGGAAGCCGGGCAGCGTGCAACTACTCGCCGCCTGGCTTCCCGATTGGTTCGGGAAGCTGGCCAATCAGGAAGCTAGGCGGCAAGTCATTACCCACCCCCCGACTTCCTGGTGATGAGGGAGCATGGAGACGGCTTACCTGCTAAATCGAGGGGGGGGGAGTCATTACTCCCCCCCCGGTTTTCGGTATCGGTGAGTACCAGAAAAAAATATTGGTACTCATACTCAATACCGGAAAACCGGCATCGGTGCATCCCTAGCAATTACCCAGCTGTTGTGAGATCGGGGCAAATATCAAATGTTTAGACTATTTTTGCCTTCTGGTTGAATGTTCTTCAAATATTATGGGCAGTTGTACAAATAGGTTCATTCACACATAGGCGCTTTGTCGCCCAAAGCTAAGCGCGACAAAACAGTCAAGACAAGGAATCCCATTCATTTCTATGGCCCCTGTTCACACCGGAGCGTTTTCTCACACGAAGTCTCCCACTGAAATCTATGGGATCAAAAAGTGCTGCAATATACCAGAAGAAGCCGGCTCAGAGCTTTGGGTGAGTCTAACTTTGTTATTTGTGAGTCTAGACATGAGCAAGTACTTAAAAGGAGAACTATGAGGCGAGTGACAATCACTCAGCCTCATAGTTCTAGCTGACGTGTGACAATGAGACTGTCACAGGTCGGCTCAATAGATCGGGAAGTGAGAGAACACATACCGTCGCTCTCTCACCTCCTTGCAGAGAGCCGTAACCGTCACTCACGGCTCCCTGTAGAGATCCCCCCTGTCCGATCCTCCAGTGCTGACTTGCGGAACGGACGGGGGATGGGGTGGGTACAGCTGGCTCTGCCTCTAGATTGGCAGAGCCAGCTGTCAATCACGCAGCTGGGTGGACCTCGACAGTAATGTCGGGATCCGTCCCGGCTGCAGAGTCTCAGTATACGGCAAGCTGGAGCCCGCGGTATTCTGAGCTTTGGGTGACGGGAGGACGCTAGTTTGTGTCCTCCCGTTACCCTTAGAACTATGGGGAAAAGACCTGACTCCATAGTTCTCCTTTAACCCTTGCAGTGCAGGGGTAGCCCAACTGCAAGGGTTAATAAAAACATTTCCTAGTGTGTATGTGATGTTTAATAGGCATAAAACTATTGTAAATGTAACCAATGTTGATATTGTACAGCATTGGAAGAATTGTAACTTCGTGTATCATTTCCCCTTGTCATTCATGTACACAGCAGTTTGTTCCTCCATGTGACATTTTCTCTTTATTGTATTCCCGTCCGATATATGAAAAAAACTTTATTGAACAAAAGCATGCGACAGGAGCCGCGTAGCTTACTTGTTTAGTATCCAGCGGTCCGATCTTGGTGACGTTGTTTAACTTCGACTTCCCAATAACGGTTTTATAATACTGAACCTGCCCGGTCACGTTGTCGACCTCCACCGAATAGAAGTTGTTGTTGGTTATATTCAGCGTGTTCTAAAATAAAAATACAAAAATCAGCAAATGGCGCAGGGGAAGGAAGGTGCGGAGCGAATGTTAAATCCTAAAGCTGATTTACCGTGATGTTGAGATACACGGAATTGGTGGACTCCTCATAGCGCACATAGACCGCCTTCACGCCGACGTACTGGATGTCGATGGAACGCGGGAAGAGGAAGAACACCGCCAGACCAGAGAGCAGCAGACACACGACGACGGAGACGGTCACATAGAGTTTTCTGTTATGAGAAAAGAAAGGAACGGTTATGGCCGATTCATCAACTGACCCGGGGAGGATATCTCAAGAGTTCCTGGAAGGTTAATGGAGTTCAGTGGAGCAGAACCCCCGAGATCTGAGTGCAACCCGAAAAATATATAACATAAAACGATCCTGAGTAATTCCAGTCAGGGGCGTCCCAAGGCTGGTTTGACACACGGAGCGGTTAGCGGGTGTCAGCCCGCCGTGATGTCACTGCGCATGTGCGTCATCGCGCATGCGCGGCGATCTTCTTGATACCTGCCGGAGGCCATCTTGGTGATGGACGCCGGCAGAGAGAGGAGGGGACTTGGTCCATGACTGAGTGCCCGACTTTCAGAGGGGGGTGACACCAAAATGACAGTCATTTTGGTGTCACCCTTCCAATGTTGTCACCCGGGTGTGGGCCGCACCGCCCTTGTGACGCCACTGATTCCCGTACAATGGGGGGAACTAAAACCGGACCAGACAGCAGTGGCGTCACAAGGGAGGTGACACCAAAATGACTGACAATCATTTTGGCGTCACCCCCTCTTAGAAGTCAGGCACCTGATCATGGACTGAGAGTCCAACAGCCCCATTAGAGGAGGGGGCTTCCCAGCGGCATACCTGATTCCGCGGGGTCAATATCCCCTCTTCTCTTTGCCGGCGTCCATCATCAAGTGTTGACGTGTGATGACGTCACACCATGGATGTCATAACGCATGCACGGCGGCCGCACCAAGTGTCACCCAACCTGGTGCCGCCGCTGGCAGGCAGAATCTGGAGCAGCTCTGCAGAGTAACCAATCAGCTTCTCTCTTCAGCGTGTTCAGTTAAGCTTTGTAAATGAAAGCTAGAAGCTGATTGGCTGCCATGCACAGCTGCTCCAGATTCTATCTGCTTCAGTAAGTTCCTTTCAATGTATATTAATTAGCACCTAGGCCTTTATCCACACTCTACTATTTTAAGGTTCTTATATCTATATGTTTCCTTCCCTATCCCCCCCCCCCCCCCCCACTCTCCCTCCCTTACCCTCTTCTTCGCTTCTCTACTCTAACGGGCATGGCCGGTCCTGGGGGTCCCATCCCCCCCCCCCCCCCCCAATACTTCTACTCGGTGCAATGCAGGCAGACCATAACCAGTGGGAGGGGTGCAGGGTGCTGTACATAGCTGTACTTAGTGAATATTGGTAATAACCAATTACCGGATGCAGAACAAATGTTGGCTGACCAGCACTGAACGTTGAGCAACCAGACAGTAGCGCCATCCCATTACTGTCAATCAAACTTCTGACTGTAAGACACGCCTCCTGCTGTTTAAATGCCCCTATATAGCTCTGTAGACTAGATGAGAGACGTATCTACCCTAACCAGGAGGGGCGGTAAACCAGGAGTCATAGTCCTGGTTTACCGCCCACATTTAAGATTTAAAATAAAATCCTGTTCCCTCCTACCACGCCCATACACATGACCAGCCCGCCTGCCCATACACATGACCAGTCCCGCCCCTTCCCCAACTGGCTAGGGAAGCAATGCATTATGGGAAATGTAGTCCCTCGTAACATCCAACTCAGATGACATTATGGAAGTTGTCTCCTGCTGATCTATGATCTGCTCATAAGGCCCCGTTCACACCAGGGCGGTTCGGCTGCGTGCAGGGCCGGCGCTAGCGCAAGGCAACATGGGCACTTGCCTTACTGCGCCAGGGAACAGGGCGGAAAATTGACGGTGACAGTCGCCAGGCGCCGGCATAAGTCCGGCTCCGGCCGTCCAATCGAGCTCAGTTTGGGCTGCCGCTGCGGGCGGCATCTGAGGGACGAGTCGCCACCGGCCGCAGCGGCGCTGACCTGTGCAGTGTCTCTCTGTCTCAACTTACTTGTCGGGGCAGCGTTATGGAGAAGCCGGAAGAGCACCACTGAGCCGTCCTCTTGGCTAAGTCCTACGTCAGTGAGTGATTTAAGTGGCCCCGCCCCTGGTTCCCCTGGCCGCGCAGCCGCATGTGAAGGAGCGAGGGCTGCAGGAGGTGGAGCAACGGACACACCAGCAGGCAGTGCGGCCGCGGCGTCATCCTGGAGGCGACAGTGACGGCAACCTGTTGAGGGACTCTGTGGATTTGGCCGCGCGATCCGAATTGCCTCCCGTCCGAATTCCTCCGACCCTTTTTGGGCGTTTTCTGATTGCGTTCTAGCTCTGAAACGCAATTAAAAACACCCAAAACCGCCCTTTTCAAATCTGCATGGAAACTGCGCTGATTCGCAACCGCCCTGGTGTGAATGGGGCCTAAAGGAGGAGATGGGGACTGGAGAGGTCATGTGACCGTGACTTTTAATCTTTATTTCATATACCAATGACAAGTTTTTATAATGACATAAATACACGTGATGTGATGAAGGGGAAAGCTGTGAACTTGGGTTAGTAAGAATATCGCTAGCTGAAGTTCCGCTTTGAATAGTGGAAGTAATCATAAAATAGTTATTGTATCAGCTATCTCCTGACCTCAAACCAGCACTTCCTGTAGGAAATGACAAATGCTGTGCCAAGTGACACATGGACTGAAGTAGGTGCAAAGTGACCGGGACAGACAAGGAACAATGCCGATAAAGAACGAATGTGTCTACCATTAGTAGGGAGAAAGGAGATCAAATGTTAAAGCGGAAGTCTGGGCATTAAAAAAACAAAAACGAGGGGAGTATAGTTCAGCTTTAAAGGGAACTGCAAGATCCTTAAAAATTAACCCTTGCAGTGGGGGTACCCTAAACCGATATATTTTACATTTGTGTCCTCTGGCTTTACTCACGTTCTTCTCGGGCGCAGTCTCTGATCGCTGTACGGTATCAAAGCCACGAGCTGATTTTCACGACCTATAGTAAAAGAAATGGTCAAGAAAATGCAACAAAAAGGTATGAAAAGAAAGGAATCAACTATTAAAAGTAATCGTTCTCCATCTTTATAAATCTGTCCTATGACACAAGTGCACACGTGCAAACAAACATCAGCAAGTTAAGCTGGGCTACGGACTGTTCAAAGTGCATCTATTGTGTTGGTTAAATACTAACACCTTAAAGGAGAACTATGAGGTGAGTGCTTTTCACTCACCTCATAGTTCTAGCCGACCTGTGACAATGAGACTGTCACAGGTCGGCTCAGAAGATCGGGAGGTGAGCGAGCACATAACGGGTTCGCTCACCTCTCGATCCTGTCACGGCTCTCTGCCGTGACAGGGGAGGGGCTGGATTCCCCTCTCCCCGATCCGCCAGCGCTGACTGGCGGAAAGGACGGGACGGGGGAGGGGGCGGGTACAGCTGGCTCTGCCTCTAGATGTCACTCACGCAACTGGGCGGATCCAGACATCGATGTCGGGATCCGCTTCGGCGTCTCAGTATACCGCGAGCTGTAGCTCCCTATATACTGAGCCTAGGGTGACGGGAGGACGCTAGTTTGTGTCTTCCCGTTACCTTAAGGAGAACTATGGGTAAAAAGTCTTAACCCCATAGTTCTCCTTTAACCAGTTGATATCCAGGGTGTTACACCCCCTTCCCATCCAGGCCATTTTTCAGTATTCAGCGCTGCGGTACTTTGACTGACATTTATTCCGTCATGCAACACTGTACTGAAATGAATTTGATATCATTTTTTGGGGACAGATAGAGCTTTCTTTTGGTGGTAATTAATCACCACTGGGGTTTTTATTTTATTACTATATTAAGGAAAAATTACCGAACATTAAAAAAAAAAACTGTTTCCCCTATATTAAATGATAAAACATTTATTATTACCCAATTTTTTGGTAAAATATAAAAGACGGGGTCACGTCGGGTAAAAAGACATCAAACATGTCAAGCCTTAAAATTGCGTGCGTGAAACCTCAAAAAACGATAATACCCAAAATTGGCCATAGGCGACGCTTTAAAAGCTTTTACCGCTCATCAGTTTAGTGTTATCAGTGATTGATGGCCCTAAAATTCAAGCCGTGATTTGTCATAATTGTGATGATTATGGCTTACAGCTCATGAAAACCCCAAGAACCCCAAATCCAAATCTCAGAAAATTAGAATATTGTGAAAAGGTGCAATATTCTCGGCTCAAAGTGTCCCACTCTAATCAGCTAATTAAGCCATAACACCTGCAAAGGGTTCCTGAGCCTTTAAATGGTCTCTCAGTCTGGTTCAGTAGGAATCACAATCATGGGAAAGACTGCTGACCTGACAGTTGTGCAGAAAACCATCACCAGGTGACGAGGGAGCATGAAGCCGGCTTTCTGGCCAATCAGGAAGCTGGGCAGCGTGTGATGACTCGCTGCCCGGCTTCCTATTACCGGAAGCTCAAGTATCGTGCTAGGCATCGGAGCGAGTACTTGCCCAAATACTCGGCACCGATACGGATTGTAGTATCGGCGCATCCCTAATTTGCAGGCTGAGGTTGAATAGGCAAATGAGGGAGGAGGTTCCGTAATCCGCGCTCACCTCTGGGGATGCGCCCCGTCCCTTGGCATGTGGCGCAGGTCACGCTGTCTTTCCCTGTGAACTCCACATAGGGGAAATGGGACACGTCACCGTTCCTTCCTTCCTCATGGCCATCCGAGTTCACAAGAGCGCTGGAGTCCTCTGACGGTGCGCCACCTTCACCCAGACCATCCTTTCCACCGTGCGGCGGCATGAGCGAGTACGATTTTCCCATAACTCTTCCTGTAGGATGAGAAAGGAGGAAACTTGTACAAATGTTTGTGTTTTATCCCAATGCTTTCCTAAAAATGATTTTGTCTTAAAATTAGCCTTTCAAGGGGCCGATGCCATTCACTTACTCTCCCATCTAACATTACCTGTACATGGAGCCTGTTGTCAGCTCTTCAATCCTGCACATTGCCCAGATAGCAGCTCTGAGACATCGGTAAAAGAACCAACTCCCTACCTCGGCACTGCAAGGGTTAAGTGCTTGTTTTGGTCTAGGGAGGATAGCCGTGACAGGATCGAGAGGTGAACGCTGGCAAGTGTTCGCTCACCTCCCGATCTACTGAGCCGACCTGTGACAGTCTCATTGTGATCAAAAGAATTTTAAAAAAAACAACATTGTTTTTAAAAGTCCCCACCCCTACATACACGCATGTATACCTGCGAAAACGACGATTGCGCCCATTACGCCGCACATGTTACATATCGCCGCGAACGTCGGAATGAGAGCAATAATTTTAGGGCCATCAATCAATGATAACACTAAACTGATGAGCGGTAAAAGCTTTTAAAGCGTCGCCTATGGCCAATTTTGGGTATGCTAGTTTTTTGCGATTTCACGCGCAATTTTTAAGCTTGACATGTTTGGTGTCTATTTACCCGATGTGACCCCGACTTTTACATTTTACCAAAAAAGTGGGTAATATTAGTTGTTTTATAACATAATGTTAAAAAAACTTATTTTTTTCAAAATTTTCAGTAATTTCTCCTGAATATAGTAATAAAATAAAAACCCCAGTGGTGATTAAATACCACCAACAGAAAGCTCTATCTGTCCCCAAAAAATGGTGTAAAATTCATTTCAGTACAGCGCTGCATGACGAAATAAACGTCAGTCAAAGTACCGCAGCGCTGAATACTGAAAAATGGCCTGGCCAGGAAGGGGGTCTAAACACCTGGTCTTGAAGTGGTTAATTAAACATATTACAGAATGTATCTCATAAGTGAGACTGTTTAGTAAATACGGTATAAGATAAGCCACACTACCCGAAGTAAATGATATGACATCTAAAATGATGGGTTAAAGATATTCCACTCTACGATCATCTGCTAATAAATACAATTAGAGACTTTAAAACCTTTGAAGGAGAACTATGAGGCGAGTGATTTCCACTCATCCTCATAGTTCGAGCCGACCTGTGACAATGAGACTGTCACACGTTGGCTCTATAGATCGGGAAGTGAGCGAACACATACCGTCGCCCGCTCACTTCTCGATCATCTCCCTGCAGAGAGCGGTGACTGTCACTCACGGCTCCCTGCAGGGGCGGGTAAAGCTGGCTCTGCCTCTGGATAGGCAGAGCCAGCTGTCACTCACGCAGCTGGGCGGATCTCGACAGTAATGTCGGGATTCGTCCCGGCTGCGGCGCTCTCAACTGTAGCTCGCTATATACTGAGCTTTGGGTCGCGGGAGGAGGTTCTCCCGTGACCCTGAAGAGAACTATGTGATAAAAAGGTAATCCCATAGTTCTCTTTTAATGTACACTTTACACACACGTTTTGTCACTTGTTCACGAGTCAGTTTCCAGTCACTCTTCTGGGAAGGGCCGGCTGTTATCTTACGACATTGGAGAAATTGCCATTCTTCAGTTTATCTAGAGTCAGACACTTGCTATGTACACGTGAGGAAGAAATAATGCTGATTCAGGATGTATTTTGGAATTTAGTTAAACTGACCAATGACGTCATCTTAATCTTTATCTTGATGTGTCAATCTTTATAAGCTGTATGGACCAGAGTGGGGTTGGAATTGGCCTGACAGACTAAGGGTACGTTCACACCAGATGCAGTGCGTTCCGGCCCGACTCTGGCCAGAACGCACCGCATCGCGGCCGGCTCACTTTTTTTGTGGGGCAGGAAAGGGCGTGGCGGGCCATTGAAGTGAACGGCACCTCCGGCCGCAATGCAGTCGCCCGCACGGGATCGCAAGGCACATTGTGCCTGCGGTCGGGTGCGATCAAAATGCTGCGCTATTTTGATCGCATCGCACCACAGGCACAATGTGCCTTGCGATCCCGTGCGCGGCTACGGTGCCGTTCACTTCAATGGCCCGCCACGCCCCCTCCTGCCCCAAAAAAAAGTGACCAGGCCGCAATGCGATGCAGTGTGTCCCGGACGGAATCGGAAACGCACTGCATCTGGTGTGAACGTACCCCAACAACTTTCCCCACACGCGTGTCAGATAAACCTTTTGTGTGATTTGGATCTACTCACAGACTGTTGCTGCTTTGCTCTTAAAATTCCGTAATCACGCCGGCGCCTGAGGATCTTGACACGGGATCCCACATATATAATAATAAATCTTCTTTCAGTGAGGCTGCTCCATAACAGATCCTCTGCAAGCAAACACCAAGAGAGCGCCTCCTCCTGCGCATCACCATTTATTATCAGCGAGTAAAATAGAATCAATAAAAGCGTCTCACAGAGGTGAGGTGCCGTGTCTGGGGTGAGGAGGAGGAGTCACAGGGCGAGTCTGAGCACAAGGGTGACACGAGACCGGCAGACACACGCTGGTTGCTCCATCATACAAGCCTCCACCTGGCTAAACGTGCTTTCAGGACACGCCCCCTTCTTCAGAGCCGCTCTCGTCACCCTCCAACAGCCTTGTGTTCACTCGCCCTGTGACTCCTCCTCCTCACCCCAGACACGGCCGGCACCTCACCTCTGTGAGCAGATTTTATTGATTCTCTTTTATTCACTGATCATAAATGGAGAGGAGAAGGTGCTCTCTTGGCGTTTGTTTATCTCCTGTAGTATGTCTATAGTCTCTGACCATCTCCTGTAGCATGCCCGTAGTCTCTGACCATCCCCTTTAGCATGCCCGTAATCTCTGACCGTCTCCTGTAGCATGCCCGTAGTCGCTGACCGTCTCCTGTAGCATGCCCGTAGTCTCTGACCGTCTCCTGTGGCATGCCCGTAGTCGCTGACCGTCTCCTGTGGCATGTCCGTAGTCGCTGACCGTCTCCTGTAGCATGTTCGTAGTCGCTGACCGTCTCCTGTAGCATGCTCGTAGTTGCTGACCGTCTCCTGTAGCATGTCCTTAGCTACTGACCATGTTTGCAGTCCCTGACAGTTCTCTGTGACGCGAGATTCACTGAATATTACGTGTGGCCCTTCGGCGGTGTCAGAGGCTGCATCTGAGGGCCCACTACCTCACATAATTTGACCACCACCTGAATTTAACCCTTGCAGTGCATGCCCTAGAAGAGTCATTGTAATTCCGGCTTCCCTATTAGGTGAGCCATCGATCTGGAACAAGCATGCAGCCAGTGAAGCATCAGGACGCCAAATAGGCACATACGTGTTCCTGGTCAGTGACTAACCAATAAATAAAGAATGACAATCCCATAGAGAGCCTTCAGAAACATGTTAGCAATGGCTTCTCCCATATCCTATGGGGCTCCCTCTAAGTCAGACCTCTCATCCTCCATCATGTAAACAACACACTCAGATGTTCATATAATGCCATTCTCAGATCCCCATTTCTGGCACCAAGATGCTCGACAGTCTCCGTCAGCCTCCTGATCCCAGCCTCGCATTGTCAGTCCATGCTGGGACTTGTAGTGCGCCCCCAGCTGATGGTCCCGTGTATAACACACAGCAGCGGTGATGGGACCCTCTGTGCTCATAGGATGCCGCTGATCTGCCATATCGGAACCATGATCTGCCTCTTCCTGAGTGACAGCTGGCCGGGCACAGGTGCGGGTCACGTGATGGAACGTTGGGGGATCTCAGGGATACATTGTATCCGTTATACTCACAGCTCCGATCTCCGTGCCTTGTCTGTGCGCTGCCAGGCCTGGCTCTGTGTGACGTCACACACTACGGGGCGGCGCTGGGGACAAAACTCCTCACTCTGGCAAACATTTCTGACTCACAGGGATGAAAGTTTACGGCCTTTCACTGACTCACAGCTGTGGTTTCATGGGAGTGTGCAAGTGTTTACCTGCGTATGTCATAGTTCTAGGCAATACTTCTCAATAATAACATCCCTGAATTATTATTATTTTGCATTCAAAAGTGTAGGCCTAAACATAGTATAGGGCTCCTTTAAGCCAGGGATTGGCAGCCTCCGGCCCTCCAGATGCTGTAGAACTACAAGTCCCAAGAGGCATTGCAAGGGTCTGTCAGCCACAGGCATGACTCCCAGAGACAGGCATTATGGGATTTGTAGTTAAAGCACAGCTAGAGGCCCGGAGTTGTCCACCCCTTGCTTCCTTATTAGCACCTGTGAGCTGTGATATTGTACTGTAAGGGCTTGTTTACACCAATTGCGTTGCGTTTCAGAGAGGGAGCTGCTGGAACGCACCGCAATTGCTCACAAAACTTGAGCGTCCTCCCGTCACCCTAGGCTCGTGTACTGAGACGCCGCAGCTGAAGCGGATCCCGACAATTGTGCCGGGATCCGCCCAGCTGCGTGACTGACAGCTGGCTCTGCCTATCTAGAGGCAGAGCCAGCTGTACCCTCCCCCGTCCGTTCCGCCAGTCAGAGCTGGCAGATCGGAGGGGGGAATCCAGCCCCTCCCCTGTCACAGCAGAGAGCCGTGACAGGATCGAGAGGTGAGCGAATGCCGGTATGTGTTCGCTCACCTCCCGATCTACTGAGCCGACCTGTGACAGTCTCATTGTCACAGGTCAGCTAGAACTACTGTATGAGGTGAGTGAAAAGCACTCCCCTCATAGTTCTCCTTTAACCGCTTAAAGACCAGGCGTTTATACCCCCTTCCTGTCCCGGCCATTTTTCAGTATTCAGCGCTGCGGTACTTTGACTGACGTTTATTCCGTCATGCAACGCTGTACTAAAATGAATTTTATACCATTTTTGGGGGACAGATAGAGCTTTCTTTTGGTGGTATTTAATCACCACTACGGGTTTCTTTTGTGTTTACTATATAATAAAAAAGAATACCGAAAATTTTGGGAAAAAAACTTTTTTCCCTACGTTACGTTATAAAACATTTATTATTACCCAATTTCTTGGTAAAATATAAAAGACGGGGTCACGTCGGGTAAAGAGACACCAAACATGTCAAGCTTTAAAATTGCGTGCGTCCGCAAAGTTGCAAAAAACGAACATGCCTAAAATTGGTCTAGGCAACGCTTTACAAGCTTTTACCGCTCATCATTTTAGTGTTATCAGTGATTGATGCACCTAAAATTAATGCTCTCGCTGGGACGTTCGCGGCAATATGTAACATGTGCGGCCCAATCGTTGTTTTCGCACGTAGGTGGACCTGACGCATATTTACGTTTATAAGTGCGTGCACGCGGGGGTAGGGGACTTAAAACTTTTTTGGGTGTTTTTTTTTTTATATGAGACTTTCATTTTTTTTTTTTTACACTTCACTTGATCGCTGTGACATTGGGGACTAAAAAGGCCCCAATGTGATACCCGAAAACACTGACAGGTCCTCTTTATGGAGACATCAGGGGTCTTTAAGACACCTAATGTCACCTAGGGACCCCCAAAGAAGTTGATAAAGCAGAGATCTGCTTCATCAGCTTCTTCTCTGGCTCTCAGCCAGAGAAATGACGGCTAAAGGTGGAAGTATAGTATTACACATCGCTTCTGACTTTAGAGATAACGGAAAAGTGATGTTATGTTTTTTTTAGGTAGTGACAGGTTGACTTTATTGTAATCCATTGCAATGTATGCCCATAGCCTGTAGGTGGGGACTTTGCTATTGGTCCTAAGGAAAAAGTTTTGTTGTCATTGTTGTACATTAATTTACTATTTTAATCAATTCCTGCTTATTAGTGTGGTAACGATAATGAGAATCTACCATCATTTCATTTTGTTTTAACAGCTCTTTGCATTGATACAGAATAACGTGTCTCCATAGCAACCGCCTCTTCCCCCCCTCCTATGCCTTGCAGCAGTTGTTTTCTTTGAAGTATGCTCAGGGCTGTATGTCTGACATCCATTCAGTAAAAGGATTTTGAAGAAGAAAAATTGAGCACACAAAATATAAATACACATAAAGTACAAATGTAAATACTGGAAATGTATTGACCTACAAACTATACATAGAAATAGTTTCATATTTGTGATTGCTTTTTACCATGCAACGTGCATTGGCATTGCTGGAAAATTGGTGAAATCGGTGGCAACTGCAGTCCAATGTATCTAATAGCAAACTAATGCAAAAAAGAAAAGAAAAAAGAATCCTTTCATAGAGTACAATATGTGGGGTACAGTGATGGACAGAGCTACAGCAGATTAAGATTTGGAGATGACTCCTATTACAGACAACTGCATAATAAGCAACCAGTGTGAGCAGAGGAAATAGAATGGTGGGGTGCATCACTAGAGGGGTCCCCAGCAGGGGGGAGGAGGTCCTGATTACCCTCTATAGATCTTTAGTTATCACTAGAGGAACACCAGCAGGAGGAAGGAAGTCCTGATTCCTCTATATAGATCTTTATTATCACTAGAGGGGTCCCCCAGCAGGAGAAAGCAGGTCCTGATTCCTCTATATAGAGCTTTAGTTATCACTGGAGGGATCCCCAGCAGGAGGAAGGAAGACCTGATTCCCCTGTATAGATCTTTAGTTATCACTAGAGGGATCCCCAGCATAGAGAAGGAGGTCCTGATTCCTCTATATAGATCTTTAGTTATCACTAGAGGGGTCACCAGAAGGAGGAAGGAGGTCCTGATTCCTTTCTATAGATCTTTATTATCACTAGAGGGATCCCCAGCAGGAGGAAGGAGGTCCTGATTCCTCTATATAGATCTTTAGTTATCACTAGAGGGATCTCCAGCAGGAGGAAGGAGGTCCTGACTCCTCTATATAGATACTAACTCAGGCATTCAGGTGCGGGCGATTGTGGTAAAGTCACTCCCCCAGTCATGTGACAGTGCTCAGGCCCAGTGGTTGGCTACTAGACCCAAGCACTGGCGGAAGGGAGGTCACATGCTCCCCCATCCTTTGAAGTACCAAATATTCTCAGCAGCTGCAGGGGAGCACAGGTAAGGTAAGTAAATGGGGGTCAAGGGGGGCCCTTAGTATGAGCAAGGTGTCACTGGGCTTCATTCACCAGGAGGAAGAGTCCAGCTAACTTTTGTCATGGAAAGCTGTAGCTCTGACATGCTTTTCTGTCAAAGCGTATTTGAAAAAATTATTGCACCAACCAATTGAAGCAATAATATCTTCAAGTCGTTTGTTTCAGCCAGATCAGACAAAGGACCTCCGTCTTCTACTTACCAATGCAACGTCCCGAGAATGAATACATTGATGACCTCTGGGCTTTCTCTAAGACAAGAAAGAGCAAAGGTTATTATTCCAGAATCCTGGGGACAGATGTGACTGTCACAAGTGTCTGTTAGTTTATTTACTAGGCAGCTACGTGTACCAATTTCAATTTATACACTAGAATAATGACAATGACTAATTACTTGTCCTGTCCAATACATCACCGGAGGGTAGCCGAGGAAGAAAGAGCTCGGACAGCTGTGTAGATGTCTTCTGTCCCTCAGGGCATCATTGATCTGCTGGTGAGGGCCTTAAAAATAAGTTTCATGTTTCATATTTATGTTCCCTGCAATCATATTAGTGATAAAATAATCGGTTTTGGAAGGAAAGTTGGTGGTCGGTAACTTTGTAGGAAAGAAAAAATGTTCCTTATAGAAAGCCGTTGAACAACCCATTGTCAATTAACTACATTTTATGCACTAGGTACATTTCCCGGACATCATCAATCATCTATATGCTACATGGCCAATTTATTTCGACAAGGTCTTGTAGAATTTCAGAATCTGCTGCCCATTATCGGAACAGTGAAGCAATGAAATAGATACATTTATGTACAATGGAGTCCTGTGGAATGCATTCTATAAACTGGAATTTGCCAGGAACTATGGTCTTAAAGTGTACCCCTGCCATTGTATACCATGTACCCGCCATTTAGGGGTACATGGTACACAAAGACCGAGAAATCAGCTTTGCCTAAAAAAAAATTTCTTCCACACTCTAGGCACACTCTTGGTTCTCATGAAATTGTTTTTGGTTAAAGTTGGTTCATGTTAAAGTATAACTCCACCCAAACCTTTCTTAGTTTTGTATAGAATAGGGAACGGTAAGAGTCACTGCCAGGTTTTATTGCTATCCTGCTGGGGAGATCTAGCCCCAGTATTTGTCATATGGACTGTTATAAATGCATAGATTTCCATAGATGTCAACTGTCCTAGATGTTGGCCCTCTGTACCTTCAATGCTTTTGTCCTGGGGCATGTCCCAGGATCACAGAGTCATCTGTATTTGAGTTACATGCATATGTAGTGCCCCTCTGGATTCTATGGGCAGGAGGGGCTGACATTTTACCTCAGGGATGGATCCTTAGCCATGTGGAGTGGCATATGTGGAGTGAAATTCGGCGCCAATCTCTTTTAGGATTTTTAAGGATGCATTATTAGAACCGACAGCAACAAAAAGATAGAGGGTATAGGGCTGCAGACATCTGAGGAACACAGAACTCCAGACTCACCAAACTCTCTCCAGCTTCACAGTGTAAATGGCCTTCAAACCAAAAGTGTGGTGACACTGTGATAGAGCACCATGGCTAGCAGAGATTTTGAGATCTCCCCTAGGTGAGAAATCTGACTGATCTCTGAGGTGCAAGCTCATCCTGGCTTCTCTGGTACCTCCAACAGATGAAGTTCCTCCCTGGCTCTCCTTCACAGGAATAGTTCTTGACCTTATCTGACCATCGACAGGCTTCAGGCCTGGTCAGACAGTACACATGTAATGCACCTTCCCCAGGCTGGAGACCTCTGGGAAAAAGAGACTCTCACATGGTCAGACCCAGATATTTATGTCCTCTTCCAGCATGCACCACTGGCCACAAAACTC